AAAGTTCGAGTTTACTATAAAAATAACGAGATATTTTAAAAAAGTTTCATATGACACGAATTTCAAATTTAAACTTTATTTTTTGGGGATGGAATTTTCTATGATAGTTCACAATTCATAATAAAGATCTGATTGGTTCACAGATTAATTTTGATACTAATACTAATTATTGTCATCTGCTGACCTTTTTGTGCAGTTGTTATTGTATGTAGTATTTTCGGAAAAAAAAGCCACACTTTTCTTAGATCGAGAGATGTTAAACTGCAAATGTTCATATTTTCTTTTAAAGGTCGTAAAAACCTTTCTACTTTCAATGACACTTGATAACCTTCCGTTCTTTCTCTTGCTAGTCTTTTAACTTGTGCTTGATTTTCTCTTCCGTGTTGAAACCAACATGAATTTAATAATAATTATTTTTTTTGCCATGAAAACAAAAAATGCATTATCATCTATTACACCGAGATAAAATCGTTATATTTTAAGAACCATTACCTTTTTGATCAATTAATGAAGGAGGAAATCTTAGCAAACAATAAACCATTACTTTTTCGATTAGTAAAACTGTTGATAAATAAAGAAACTATTATTTTTCAATTAGTTAATGAATGAGAAGGATCTTAGCAAACAAACCATTACTTTTTTGATGTTGCTCACATCAACCAATACCTTCCTTTCCAAGTTTTTTTACTTTAACTTGGCAAAAACTTTTAAACTTTTTTATTATTAATTCAATCTCCTTTTTTTTTTTTTTGCCTGCTTTGTTTCTTATTTGCCCCAACAAATTTATAAATAAATAATAATACTTAATATATACTTTTTTAAAAATTTCATCTACTATTCTTTCCGCTTTTCAATATGGATTTGTTAACCGTTGAGTCAATTTCTGACTGGTTTGCTAATGAAGACATAAAAACGATTTCTGTTAATTCATTTAATATTAATAGAACATATTCTCTTAAAACTGACGAAATGGTACTAATGATAATTTGAAAAGGTTATTATACTCAAATGTGATAAATACAGAGTCTTCGATACAAACTTGAAGTATTTATTGATTGAAAATTATGAAATTACATTTGATCGGTTAAAAATTAAAAAATTACATTGAAAATCGTATCAGGCATATAAAATAAATATCAAAAATAAATTAATAATATTTTATATTAGATAGATGTTTTTATTACCAATCATTTTTTTGTCCATAAATGAATATCATTGTTGTTTGTTTTTATTATCTAACAGTTGATGAAGCAAGAATATAATGTAATTTAATTGATCAACAAAATTATTTTGGTTTTGATATGCAGAGTTATTATTCGCATTAAATAAATTCTGTTCGGCGAAGCCATTGTTATTATTGTTGATACCTGTTGAAATAGCAGTGTTCTGGCCAGCAAGGCCATTATTATTATTGATAATACTAGTTAAGCCATCAAAAGTGTTATCTTTAACGAAACCACTATTACTGGCAATATCTATTGAGGTAAGAGTGTTTTGGTCAACGAAATTATTTTGATTAATCAAGTTATCATCTCCAGAATTTTCATTAACGAAATTGTCATGAACTAAGTTAAAATTAAGGTGATTGTTGTCGCCACCGTTTTGATAAGCAAGGAGGTTATTGTCTCCAAAAGTTTGAGTAATGGAATTATCATGAAATAAGTTTTGTTGAACGTTTTGATAATCGAAATCATTGTCTCCACGAGTTTGAGGAACGTGGAATGAACTTGTTTGTCCATTAAAAAATGGAAGAGTGTTTTGGTCGTTAAAAATATTATTTTCTTTGTTGTTATTATCTTCATCCATTTCTAATATGCAATATAATGTATTAATTTTATTTATAAATGATTTTTATTAATTATAATTGTTTAGTTATTTTTTTAAAAAAATTTTTTTTGGTTCAAACTTTTTTAAAAAATGGAAGCTTTTTTTATACGTGACATGTGGTAACACAAAAGGCGTAATAAAAATAATAGATTGATAGAATAGTAGTAATAGTAGTAGTAGTAGTAGTAGCAGTAGTAGCCGCAGTAGAAAAAATTCGAGATTTAGTCAAGTGAACAAATGGGAAAAGAAAAAATTAGACGAAAAAAGATAGTGAGAGAGAAAAATATAACCATTTTCACAAAGAAAATTTTTGTAATAATCTGCAATAATAAACTTGTTTACATATTACATATTTTACATTTAAAATATTATTTTAAAAGAAAATTTTAATTTTTTACTCTTTTGCCTGAGTCAAATTGGATAAGCTACGTAAATTATGTTTCTTCTAGTTTGCATTTTTTTTAACTAATTATCATCATCTTCATTTGTATTATTTCCAGAATTGTTATCAACAACCTAACAAATCAGTAAAGTATTAAATTTTGGAATGGAATAAAAAAAATGGGTAACCATAAAAAAAATCCACATCCCCGACTTAACTAAACTGGAAAACTTTAACTTATCTTTGATTAACAATATTAATATTACTAATACCCAAGTTTCTTTAGCCCAAGATTATGAGGAGAATGTTACGATATTGACATTAATAATAGTAATGAAATTGGTTCCACCAGAAGAAAATCTGATAGAATTACCAACCACCAAATCTTTTGATAATAAATCAATAAAAGTTTCATAAACACTTGATCTTATATGATTAAATTTAGTGATGAAGGCAAAAACAAAAAAAGTACTGGAGTTAATAGTGTTTCGAGGGTTGCCATTTTTTTGGAGAATGAATATGGCAAGATTGAAAAGGGCGATGGAGGCGGGACCGGATAATTTGATTAGATTACGCTGATAAAAATAATGCTAGTTGGAAACGTTCTACCATATCTATTAGATGTAGAAATAAAAGTTTATGTAAATAAGTAATATAATATCTTTCTGAAATTTCATATTATAATGCAACAGCCAATTTGGTTGGAATAAACTTTCTTTTTCAAATCTAATTCGATGAATTGATTTAACAATAATAGGAATTGATTGCCACATTAAGTGTGATTGCTTGATAAAATAAAAATATTATACAGTCATTAAGGTACAAAAAAAATCCCAACAAAAATAATTTTTAATGTTCAAGAAAATAAAATTATAAAGAAATTAATTTTTTTGTGTTCAATTAATATCTATTTCTAGCAACTTCTTTTGAACCTTTTATTTTCAAACTGATAAGATAAAAAAATCTACGTTTTCTCTCACCGCTTCCTTCCCATCCACTATTACCTGTTTTATTATTGTTTATTGTTTATCCCTTTGCTGATAAGATTAAAATTCCTAAATATGGGAAACCAAATAAATTACTATTCTTTAAATTTATTCTTTATATATTTATCTATAACGAATTGTAAAAAAACTAATAATTAATTTCTCGCATATGTCACCTTGTTTTTTTCATTTCATTCTTCCCAAAAAATTTTGTTTAATAAAAGTTGAGTTTTCTTGGATCCGTATGTTCTGTACATTTTGTAGATTCGTTCAGCTCGTTCGTTCTGAATATGAGCATGATAATGAATAATGAGTACTTTCTTTCTACTACTATAGAACGTTTTATTGACGTAATCATTCTTTCATACAATAATAATGATGATGATAACCAAAATTATACTAAACGAAACAAAAAAAAATTACAAGTAGGGGGAAAGCGGTGCTACGAGTTTTTGTGTCGTTTTTTATAATAAATAAATAAATAAATAAATAATAAAAAATATGTTTTAATCTCTTGAAATTCTTTTAATTCTTTTAATGAAGGTTGCATATTGTGTTCCAAAGGTAAGATCCTCTTGAAAATAATATAATAAAAATATATAAATAGTTTTTCTATATTTTTAAAGTAAATTTTTTCTACCTTGGAAAACTCATTGAGATCATTCATATTGAAGATCATTTTCCAATTTTATCACATTGTAATATTTCCCTCTCATGTAGTCTTTATAAACTTTTATTATTTTAAAAATAATGAATTTAATAGCAAGTTTTATAATATCAATTTTGTTGGGATTACATGGTTATACTAAAAAATCGTTATCATTATCTGGTGCAATAGCTGCATTTTTTGTTGGTCTGGGGACTATTGCTCATGATTGGAATGTGTATGCAGTAGTATTATTGACATTCTATTTTACGAGTTCAAGGCTAACCAAAGTAAAAATTTTTTTATAATTAATTAATTAATTAAATTAAAAAAATTTGTTTTCTTTCTTATTTTCTTTATTTTTTCCTCTCTGAGATAGTATAAAGCAGAAAGGAAGAAGAAATTAGAGGAAGATTATGTTGATGGTGGCCAAAGAACTATCGCACAGGTTTTGTGTACTTCATTATTTGGAACATCGATAGCAATACTTCATCAGTGGATATATGGCGGTAATCTGGAATGTTTGTTGGAAGATCGAGGCTCAAGATTTCTATTTTGGATGTATATTGGGTGAATAATTTTACAATAAAATTTTTCCTTTTATATTTAATCTCAACCATACACATTATATATTTAACCATTTTTTTAAAACAAATGGAAAAGACATTATGCTACATGTAATGGTGATACGGTAAAGTTATAAATTATATCTGGATCAATTGTTTTATAGTTGTAAATTATGGAAACAAGCAAATAATTATATATATATATTCTTCTAGTGGGCAAGCGAACTTGGCATACTTAGTAAAGATTGGCCTATATTAATAACAACATTTAAAAAGGTTGGTCTTTTTTGGGGGGAATGAAAAAAAGAATGAATGGATATCATTGATCAATTCCATTTCACCAATTCCAATTTCAATTTCAATCCAATTGATTAAATTAGGTTCCACCTGGTACAAATGGAGGTGTATCACCATTAGGTTTATTAGCTTCAGTTATGGGTGGCTTTATAATTGGTGTCTTTGCATTAATAACTATTGTGATAACAGATGGTTGTGTAAAAATCTGGTATGAAATAATTATAATTTCATCATTTGCAGGATTTTTTGGTTCATTGGTAGATTCATTACTAGGTGCAACAGTCCAGCAAACAAATTATTCTGAGAAATCAAAAAAGATTACTTATCATGAAACTGAAAATGTCAAAGTTATTAGTGGAATTGATTTGTTGGATAATAATCAAGTGAATTTTTTTTCAGCATTATTTACTGGTTTGGTGACAGGATTTTTAGGCGATTGGCTTATTAATTAAATAACTGACACAACACCATTGATCATTTTGAAAAAAAAAATTTTTTAAATTTATATATATAAATCAAAATTACAATATAATTTAACCAATCTATTAAAAATTTTAATGTTTAATCAGAACGATTATTATTAATCTTTGTCATTAATTCTAATACACTAGAAATTTTTTCTTAAATTAAATTCATTCTATCATTTATATCTCTAATTTTAAATTATCATATGATGATCAAAAACTCCACTAAATCAAATTATATGCATGCATGTATTGGCGAGATTTGTATAATTTTAATTTTTTTTTTTAATAATTACGTCATAAAGACGATTAACATATTTTGCACACCATTAACCGATTGAGAAAGAATTGTCATTTGCATTAAATGATTATTCAATTAATATATTGTTAAGTTGGATCTGCATTTTTTATAACGTGTTGATTAGTATCGGGTTTGACAGCTATTTCTCCAGGCGATTTAGAAGAACGTACCTAAATAAATATAAAACAATAAAATATAATTTCATTGTGTAAATAATATAATGATCAATGACATTAAAAAAAGTTTTACATTACATGTCCAAATCCTAATACCACACACAATAAGTATGAATGAAAGAAACAGTCTGACATTCTTCATTATGTTCCCTATTTTATAAATATAATTCCAGGTCCTGTTATTATTTTTAAAAATTTTAATGAATTCATAATTTAAAGTTTAATCAATATTCACCACATAACCAAAATAGTAAATGCTATAACAATTGTTAATCGTTGACTGAATTTTTTGTTAATATAAAAAAGTATATGTGATCATAGGCATAATAATCGATGCCAAATCAAAGAAATTATAAACGCTGATATATCGACGCCATCCCTCATGAAACAATTGTATAATTATATGAGCTAATTTAGGTGTAGTTGATGATCTTTAAAGTCTACATAAGAACATATGCGATTTTTGAATATGATGAATGATAGAACTTTGGCTTTCGAATGAGTCCAAGATTGTCAATTTATTCAAAATTGAATATTAATAGCGAATATTAATTTATCGTAAGTACAAATTGGTTGATATTTTAAATAACAACAATATGCAATATTTAATATAGTGGAAGCTTTAAATGATCCTAAGATCGTTGATATTTTCCCAAAATTGACTTGATGTGGATGTGGATTTTTTAAAATAATTTCGCGACACAATAAAATTTGCAAAGTTTGTTTCTTATTGAAATATTAATATTTTTTTGATTTAAAAAGTTACACGGCGCCAAAGACAATTTCCCTCACCCTCTCCCCTTATCCCAACACAAGAAAGCAGTGCTTTATATATTTTTCTCTCTTAGCACGAATGCGTAAGTTTGAACACGTGCAAATTTTTTCTCCTGTTGCAAAAATGGTTGACGGATACTTTAGTTTTTTGACGTAACAATATGTTCAGACAAGGTACAATTACCATTTGTTCTTGATCTATACAAAGAGTTAATGATTCAGTTAACTTGGTTTTTTGGGTAATTATTTTTAAATATTAGTTTCATACTATCACTAATTTCTTTTTTCATCCATTTTCTATTATTATTAAGTATTTTTTATATATACAATATTTAGAAATATAATAATGATTAAATTAAAAAGTATTTATTTATTAGTGACATTAGTAAGATCTGATGGAGATGCTATTAATATGTAACGATTATTATTACTTGGGCAATGTTTTTTATTTATACATACATATATATAAATAAAAAAATAATAAATAAAAATCCACCCTTCAGTATATTGCTTTGCAAGCTTCATAGATCTTGTCTTACTACTTTAATTCCATCAAATCCGCCTATATAACTATCGAATAATTGATCAACGTTAATCAAGTATAATGGTTTAGAAAGATTTTTTGATAAATAATATTAATAATAAATACAGATTATATACATTGTAAAAAACCAAGGTTTTTATATTCAATCCATTAATTCCTCTCATCGATTCCGGCAATTAATCATATAGAGGAATCATACTAATAATTCGTTATTTCAATTGTATAGTGACATCTAATTTCATATATTTTTGCAGTTGTTTAAATTTTCATAATAATAATAAATTATGTATGAGGGCCAAAATCATGAAAATTTGTTGGGACAAGCTAATAATAGTGGTTTGTTATATTGTGTCAGTAGCTCATGTTACTTTCTAAAAGTGGAAGATTTTCTCTAGTTGCGCGCATAGCCTTTGAATCTAACTAAATGTATTATTATTATTATTATAATTATAATTATCATTATTATTGTCACCAATTATTATTTGGGAGAACGTATTAATTGATGATACGATATAAATTTATGATTATGTGGATCAGAATGAATTGATTATTACTAACGAATTAGTTTTATTAGCGAATAATTTTGGTTTAGTGATTTAAGAAGACATTTTATTTAGTCAAAACTAATTTATTAAGTTAATTTTTATTGCAAAACTTCTACAAAGTTATTTTACAAGCACGTCGAATTTGAGCTTCTTATATACAATTAAATTAATTAGCAGCAACTTCATTGCGATCCAGCAATTGATTGCGATATAGGATTCTAATTGCGATATCGCACTTTAAAGTTACCTAATTTCGACAATGTTATACGAATAAAAATAAAAACGTAATACAAATAAATAATAAAAAGAAATAAATAAGGAATATAGATATAAAAATCAAGTAAAAATAAAATAAAAATAGAAATAAAAGATTGATTCGGAATTAGGGTATTTCGGCAACAATCAGCTTTAAATCCTAATTCCAGTAACATCATTATTACTATCATTCATCACAATTATTATCCCTTAAACGGTTTTTCGGCTATTGATAGCCGAAATTTTTTTTCTGTTATAAAAAACTTTTTTATGAAGGTATCACTTCCTAATACTAAAATGATCTTTGAGATTCAACTAATTGATCTGTGAAATAAAAATTCGGTTGTTGTCCTTGTAGTTTTCGTAAAATCTTCCTTAAAGTTGGTCGATTGACTATTTTTACTTTGCAGATCGTTAAATTGGCTAATAAGAATACAAGATCGTGATCAAAAAATCATTTTGTGTTACAATTAAAGAAATTAAAGAATACTTTGACCGTTTAAATTATAATTATCATTATTATTATCATTTTTTTGTTTTTGTTTTTGTTTTTGTTTTTTGTTGGTTTACTCAAAACGCGTTGTTTGTTCATGAGGTAACATTTTCTTATAAAAAGCGCTTCTTTTCCTATTCTTTTTGTAGTTGGTTTACTCAAAACGCGTTTATTGTTCATGAGCCAACATTTTCTTATATAAAGCGCTTATTTATCCTTTTCTTTTTGTAACAATACAATTACAATAAACCCAATCGTCTGCTATGGAGGAAGTTTCAGTTGAAGAGATCTTTAACTTGGGTAGGAGCACAGAGTCTATTGCTAAAAATCAGAAACTTCTTTTCTAAATTTGTTTAGTCATTCATTTTACTAACTTTTTTTTTCATTAATTATATTTAGGATGTCAAGATGCCAAAATCACGTTCTAGACAGAAAACATCAAGAGAGTGTTGAACCTGGTGAGAGACAGGATTTCAGTTTTATAATTAATTTATATTACATTATATAACTTGATTTTCCCAATTTTTTTAAGTCATATTAATATTAGTGCTTATGTCCGGAACATAAATTACTTCAAAAACTGGAGTTTTTTCGTTCAATGACACACTAACACCTATAATTGTCGCGAATATTTCAACGGTTTGGCCCAGGTATTAGAAAATGGTCTGCTGGATAACAAAAAAAAAAAAAAAATAGAGGATATAATTAAATCGTTTGGTTCAAGGACAACATTGATTATTTATTTTTTTTTATTTTTTTAAAAATAAAAACTATAATTCAAATTCAATTGGTTATTTGCATGCAGTTTTTCATGATTTTAAACCCTTATAAAAGAAACCCCAAATATTCTCAAATAAGCATGCAATTTTTATGATTTTAGCCCTTCTTTATACATAGGCAACCCCGTTAAAATAAATAATTTTTAAAACACCAAAGCCAAACATATGTAAATTACCCGTTAATATGAATGTCACCAATAGAACTTTATAAACCGTAAACCGAAGAAATTTTTAATTTTTTTGAAGCCATTTATTTATATGTAAAATTGCCCCGTTAATCCGAATTTTTTATAAACCGAAGTGAAATAAAAATTGGGCCAATAATAATAATACACAAGTTACACATCTAAACTCGACAAGTCGGACATTTATTTATATTATAAACAATTGATTGCTGCGTCCGACCTATCGAGTTTAGATGTGTAGGTGAAAATTGAAATCTATAATTAAAATTTTGGGATGGAGTGTTTGGATATGAAATTCTGATTGGCTAATTTGAACATGTTCACATAAATTTCATTTTCGCGCACCACATGTACAAAAATTTAATAACCGGGGTAGACTTTCCCCTAGTGCAAACAGAGAGAAAAAAAAATCTACTGAAAAAGAAGTTGGAGCATCAAAAAGAAAACATACGCCTATAACAATCTCACAAAAAATAGAAGCATGCATTGAAAAAAATAAAGACCCAAACATAAAAAACAACCAGCTTGCGTCTAAATATAATGTCAGTGAATCTACTGTTTCTGAAATTCTAACAAAGACTGATTATTTTATCATTGAATCTAAATCAATTCACTGCCAGAAAATGGATAAAGGAAATTCTAAATCCTAAATTTTTAAATTTATTACCCCGTTTATCCGAATTAATTTGTGACTCTAATGATTATAAAAAACCCTCGTTAATCCGAAGAAAAGTTCCTGCACAATTGCCTTCGGTTTAACGGGGTTGCCTATGTAATACGTCATTATACATAAGATATTAATATGTCTCGCAAATCTAGAAATAACAGACGCAAAACTCAAGGTAGATTTACTACAAATCCTACGCAATATTTACAATTTCAAAACCGGGATAAATATGATCATATTATTTACGAAGGCCATATAACTATCATAAATAGGAAGACACAAGATACGAAGGCAGTATTCGATTATGAAGAGGTATGCAAATATCTAGAGATAAATAACATTGATTCGAATAGGAAAAACCCAGAGTCTATGACTCATACTCTCGATGTGTATGGCAAATAAAAATGCTCTTTATTAACAAAATATAAAAATAGAAAAATCCCTGTTACCTTAAGATGATTTTTTGGTAATTTAACTGATTTCTTTTGTTGAAATTTGCGAAGATATTGACATATCCAATGATTGTGACATATCCGATGATTGTGACATAAATGACATCATTTCTGTAGAGTCATCAGTAGAGTGCAATATTTTACGTATCGTGCATGCAATCGCAGTTCTAAAATATGTATAAGATGATATACATCTTCTGGAGTTGTGAATGAGATATGTAAAGGGATAGTCGCTTGATCAAGTAAGCAACTCCTATAAAGACCCAGTTCTCCACACATACACGCATTTCCAACCTTTTACCGGCAACATTGATCGTGAAAATGGACAACATACTTTTCATTGGCAATTTTTCAAAAGCTCTTTTGTTTTTAGACATCCGAATTTCATCGATAGAGTCCTTTGCCAGCCTGTTCAACTTTTTATGGTCCCGGACTTGTTTATCAATTGAAGATCCTGGTCGACCCGTTTCTAGATATTCTGCCTCAACTTTTTTTGTTATTTATTTTTGCAACAATCATATAATCTGGGTGTTTCGCCTGTTTATGTGACCCCTTTCGTTCCGCACTAGCTGAGCTTGTTTCATCGCCTCACACCCCCCAAATATCAAAATCCACAGGCATGTCATTCATTACAATATTTATTAAAGGTGATATAATTTCACACACATATGATCCTTCATTAATATTGGGGTTTCTTGTCGTTGCGTAAGTTTCCATTTTGGCGACCCCCAAATTCGACTTAATACTTCTAACATTTGGCGTGTTAATTCCTGTAGTTTTTCTGGCTTGTCTAAAAATTCGCCAAATGTTTCAGGAGGGTTGAGACGTTTTTCCTTTTCTTTTTGAATAAATTTTTCACCCATATCCTTTAATGTATTATCGGTTGAAATTAAGAATTTTCTACTTGATGCCTTAAAATCATTCTGTAATGAACCCGGAATCGTGGTAAAGGGTTCAAAACTATCATCTAAAATACATGAACACAATGGGTGATCATAACCCAAATCTTTTACATCGATTCCATTTAATTCGCTTTTTACAGCACTCCACATAGTTTTCTCATCCCCTGACGTTGATGGTACTAACTAATTCACAAATGTTAATAATAGATAATTGAAAAAGAAATAATAATATAATCTATTTTAAAATACAAACCTTATGCACTTCATTCTTCAATGATTCGAGATTTTTAGTTGCGTCGGCTAACCAGATATCCTCTACATTCTATAATTACAAATAATTAATCATAATATTCATTTGTAACGAAATAGAATATTATACTAAATCTCACCAAAACATCCATCTCCAATGAAGAGCGAATATAGTCAAAAGCATCCGAGACCTAACAAAAGCAATTTAAAGTTCGTAAGTTAAAACCCAAAAATAGTTTATTATGTTCATGTTGGACGCAGATCAGTTTGGTTTTCTTTTTTCACACATATTTCAAGGATATGGCCATTTGCAAAAGATAACACCTCAGTAGAATCCGCATATGGTGTTTAATGTATATAAACAGTTATTCCCGACATCCTTACAGAATTAATACTACAAAGACAAAGTGCATTCACTGATTATATACAACCTTATGCATCATCAACATCGGTAAGAAAGGTGGATGAAATCTGTTTGCCCTCTTATAAACTACCTCGTCCGAACGAAATATATATTTCGTTCCCCTCATGAGAAAACCAATAAATTCATCATATATAATTAATTTTGATTTGTTATTTCTGAGACTTACTGTTTTAAAAATTCACCACTTTCAAAATGACCAATCTATCTTTTTCATCCATGTGAATAGTGTTTAATACTTTATCAACTACTTCAATAAAATTGGCTACTTCCTTCTCACGATTATCTGTCCATTCATGAGCCTCAACACGCTTATATAAAGCAGTAAAAATAGTTATAGTGGAAATTGGGGTATAAGAAATCAAGAAAGCTTCATAGTTTTTGGCGATCAATGTGTTGATTGTTCTTTCTTTGTATGACTTTAATCGGTTAGCATATACAAATCTTTTCCTAACCTTCCTTTCTGTGTTCCTTAATTGGTAAGTCCCGTTTAATCCAATATCATTAGTACGGAAAACTTTACGGAATTTTACCTGAAATTCGCATTTTTCCATACAAATTCCATACATTTTCCCATACATTTTCGTGCCAAATTTTTTATAGGGAGAAAAGGAACACTTCCGACCTGGCGTAGAATAACCAATATTTAAGCTAGCCCTTTCTTTTAACTGTTGTTAAAAGTCCCAGTCTGGCTCTAAAAAAATTATTATGGTTGAAAATCGCTTGCTATATGAAAAACGGAGTTTTTAAGTGGACGATAATAATTTTATTCGTGTAACGTTTATATTGACACTTGACCTGCAATGTCCCGCGACTAATATATATTAATATTAATATAAAAAAGTGGACGTATTAGTGTGACACACACTGTACAACATCAAATTTTTAACTCGACATGACTCCTGTTGCACTGAACTAAAAAAAAATGGATGTATTACTATGTAGTTTCCGGAGTTCTATTTACGTTGTATTACTGTGACAAGCATTGTACTCAATTTTAAAAAGACAATCATTTTGTTTGATACAGTGTTTCAATCCCCTTTTTGAATCCAAAAGAATTATATTCGAAATACATCAGATGACTTTTGGTAAAGAATTTCGAATAGTCATAAACAGTTCGAATAACCATAGGTGTTTCAAATAGTCATAAATAAATATTGTTATAAAAGCAAAATTATCACAAAAAAAGGAAAAAAAGCCACGAATATCAGTTTAATTCTAACTATAAATTTTATTTTTTTATTTTTTATTGCATATTCCGTTTGGATGTTCAGAAGATACATTCATCTTTATCTTACAGATTCTATAACCATCACGATCCTCCAAATGAAGCTATACCTTTATTTATTTCAGGTTCTATTTTTTTATTTGAAGGAGTATTAACCGAATTATCATCACTATCGTCAATTATTATTGTACTGTTACTAGTTGCAATTCGTTAAGAAAGATTTCGAATTGAAGTTCATTCGACAAACAAAATATATAGTAGTAGTAAGGAGAGATATAATATATTCGTGTGAATAATTTAACGGTATTAATAAATGTTTCGAATAATAATTATGAATCTTCAAACATCACTCTTATTTCTGTAGTCCTTTGTAACACGATTTAATATTAATGTTAATGTTAAATGTAAAATCCGTTGAAACGAGAATTTTTTAATTCATATTAATAATTAGTATTTTAATTTATCCTTGCCGATCATTGATAAAAATTACATAAATACATGTTATTGGACATAGTAATAATTTCAAGTTTAAAACACTACCGTATTAGTAATGATGATTTAAGATTAAAATAAATAAATAAAATGTGTTTCTAAAAGAATAAAATAAATAAATAAAATGTGTTTCTAAAAGAATAATTTACAATAATAAATAATTAATTGTTCCGGTAAATATTTACATTTTGATTTTATCAAATTTTGTGCGTGATCATTACAACCATCATTATAATAGCCTTTTTAAATGATTATCATTATTTTTTTTATACATGTATACATATTCCTATCTTAGTATACTAAGCTATTTCAATTGCCGGTTTTTCCGGCAACTTATTATTTTCCGGACTCTGTCGTCCTTTCATTCATTAATCAAAACAACTTTAAAATTCTCAAGTAATTTTGATTTTCTTTTTAGTTGCTTGTTTAAAATTAGATTCTCTATTAATTGGACGTTTGTTAATGCTCGAACAATTAGAAAAAGGAGGAAGTTCATTAAGAATTTTCATTTTACTTAATTTTTCACCAAATTGATTAAATTGGGTTTTAAATAAATTATTATTATCATTATAACATTCCATATGACTTTTTACTTTGGACAATTCTACATACCAATTAACTTGTAACTCAGTGTTGAATATTAAAGTCTTGCTGTTTTTCTTAATTTTAAATAATTTTGGTAGAAATTTCCGGAAAAATTGATTCAGCAAAACATATTCATCCAATTTAATCAGATATTTCAAATGGTAGGTCTTATAGGGAATTTCTGAGAAGAAGGATTGTTTGCACAGTTTATCAAAAGTCTCAAAAATGGTTTTTAATGATTCATCTTGTTCCATTTTAATAGGTGTGAATATTGATTGGGAGTCCATATAATATCTAGCCAATAGAATTTCATCAAAACACCTTGATGTAACTCTAGAGTCAGATTCAAATTTTTTGAATATCCAGGAATAAACACTTAAATTCAATGAAAATAATCTTATAAATCTATCAGTATTATCACCATAATCATGACTACAATCATGATCACAATTACAGTATTGATTCCCTATTTTATATTTATTTAATACTTTCAGGAAACTTTCTTCAGGATTTTCAAGTTTTTCATACAAGAATTCTAAAACGGTTAAATTTTTTAGACCTTTTTCAGGCTTGAGGATTTGAAT